TACCACCTCAACCAATACTCCAAAATAAAATAGAAAGTTCCAAAACACTAATAAAAATGTCCAAAAACGAACCCCTGTGCCTCAGAAATACAACTCAACTTGGAGACCCACTCGAGCGCCCAACCTTGCGCTCGAGCGCGAAGACCAACAAAGACGTCTGCTCGGTCACCAGTCTGTTGGACTGAAGTAGGGGACGTAACCTTGTTAGGACCAGACTTGGTTCAGAAGACCACTGAAAAAATAAAATTGATTAAACAGCAGCTAACCACAGCCCAAAGTCGACAAAAGAGCTATGCGGATCAAAGGAGACAACCCTTAACATTTGAAGTAGGGGATCATGTTTTTCTCAAAGTTCGTCCTCGTCGAGGTGCTACACAATTTGGGAAGAAAGGAAAACTTACACCTCGATATGTGGGACCCTTCAAAATTCTGAGCAAAGTAGGAGAAGTGGCGTACCGTTTGGCTCTACCACCTCAACTGCCTAGAGTACATAATGTTTTCTACATCTCTATGCTACGAAAATATGAGCCACACCCTTCTCACATCATCAATTGGGAGGAAATTAATCTTGATGAAGATGTGACATTTGAAGAGAAGCTTGTCAAAATTTTAGATCGTCGCGAGAAGGAATTACGAGGTAAAACCATACCATTGGTTCGAGTTCTTTGAAGACATCGTGGGACGGAAGAGTCAACGTGGGAACGAGAAAATATGATACGTGCCAATTACCCTTAGCTTTTCGAGTCTAAAGGTACGAATTAATTTCGAGGACGAAATTTTTTTTAGGATGGTAGATTGTGAAAACTCACATTTAATTATTCTTAAAAGAAAATAAATAAATTAATTAATTAATTAATTTTATCTAGAGTCTATCTGAAAATATATATTAGTGTAAAAGTTAGTTTTAAATTAACCCAATTCAATCACTAACAAAGATTTCCATCATATTTTTTACTTAATCAAATGGACCCTCAAGATTCTCATTGAAAAGTTGCAGTGCAAAGCAAGAAGCCAAAGAAAGAGAACCAGAGAAAAGCTAAACTTCTTAACTACATCTTGTAAAAAAATAAATAAAAAGTGAAAAAAAAAAAAAAAAAAAAAAAAAAAAGAGAGAATCAAACCTTGCAGATTTTTGGTGGCAACTTTCCACATGTTAGATTGCATGTTATTATAGGAAAGGAGAGCCCATTATACTCTTGGAATTGAGAGAAAGTAAACTCATAGAATGAAGAGAGAATGATGTGTGTGTGTGTGTGTGTGTGTGAGAGAGAGGGGGGGGCTCAGCAAGCATTGTATATATATATATGCATGCAAGCATTCATTGTATATAGATATGAATGCAAGCATTCAGTGAAGAAAGGAAAAAAAGAAAAAGAAAAAAGAAATCTGTGAAGCAGATAAGTTGAGTAGGAGAGGAAGAAGAGTGGGAGATTAAGGAAGCTAAAATTTTCCACCGTTTCATCATTCTATTATTAAGTAAGAAAGACCTCTCAACTCTCTCATTTTTTTTAACTGTTGAAATTTTCAGATTATATTTATATGATAAAATGACTAATTTATAGATAGAAATTTTATATATATGTATGTAAATTTTGTGATGTGTATATCAAATATTTGAAGATATTAATAGTCTTCAATTCATGGCATTATTATTGAAATAGCCTTTCATGTGTAGTTTATACCCATAAAGAGAGGATTGAAGAATTTATTTGGTCCTTAAATCTGCCAGAAAATTTGTACGAATTTTTAGACAATTTTATACTCAAAATTTGAAGATTATTTCTTCTACAAAGTTGTTTAGAATGATGTCTACTTCATCCTTGAATGTTTGTAACATTTATGGAGTTTTGTACAAATTTATACAGATTTTTAACCAAATTTGAAGCTATAGGCAAATTTCACTACGTGTTTGAAAAATCATTAAAAATTTTATATTAAACCAAATCTGGTAATTTCTAAACAAAAAACGAAATTTGAGAATTCTAGTTTCATAATAAATTTTTAGATTATGGAATTGATTTATAAATTTAAGTATGGAATTAATTTAAGAAAATGTGATAAATCTGTGTCATAAATTTTCTTGGAATTTTTTAGAATTATTTATAATTTATTTTTGGAAAAACTTTCTCAAAAATGACCATAACATGTTTATTGAGTATTCTATAGATTTATATGAATTTTTGAGTTGTATAAGTAATTTATTTATAATTTTAATTACAAGTTAAGCATTCTAAAAATTCTGGCAGATTAAGGAGGAATCAAAAATTATCTCTCCAATTGTTCTTTTGGACTAAAAATTAATATTGTGCTAGTCTAATCTTATAAATTAAAAATCCATGCATGTGTGTAATTATGATTTATTGGCATCTAAATTGTTATTCCATACTATGGTTTAAATAAATTGTTTATTTAAATTTTGTACATTTGTTTACTATTGTGCGACATGTGCAATATTTTATGTTGGGAATTTTAATGAGTTATATAACATTATTGATAATTAAATGTTGAATTATTGTGAATATCTCAACAAGTAAAGAAACACGAAATGTAACCAATGATACATTAAAATTTAAAAGTGATGGGGTGAGCTCGGTTTAGAATCTTGCACAAGTGAGTTGCGAACCCTAACATGGCACGGGAATGTATTTCGGCTCTTATCGGTGTAGGCGATATAAGGTTGGCGATGCGGGTGTCACAACATAGACCGTTCCCTTAGGCCAGACCATGATGTCACGACTCGGGTACGTAGCCCTGGTGCATAGGCATCATTGGTAGTTACAGTAAGTAACATTTGAACATTTGACCAAGGGAGAGTCAGAATTGCCCGTGGCCATTGCTTAGCGGTTGAGTGGAAATAGTACTCTGCGAGCAGTTACTTAAATTTATCTGATAAACTAAATTTATGAAAATTTAAAAAGAAAAGTAAACATATTCCTTATGATGAAATACTAATTCCGTTTGTTATATTTTTTTTGTTTGATTTATTATTATCTATTGTTATTATTTCAACTGATAACATTCCTTTTTTTTTTTTGCTTACTAAATGTTACTTGTTATTCTGTTACTATACATTATTCATTAATTGTGAGTATTATTATCGGGGGGGGTATTTTTTGCTTGTAGTATTTTATTGAGCTCGTCGCTCACTAGCATTCCCGTTACCCTGGCGTTTTATGCCAGGTACCAAAGAAACCGAAAGAAACACCGAGGCCTTGCAAGACGACACTTAGCCTTGGTTAGCTTGAAGAGTGCCCAAGATCCGTGAACAATTTTTGTAAATTTCTAGTTTTTTTTTTTTTATGTTATATTCGTATTGTTTTTATGTACTAAGGCTAAGTTTTAAGTTTTTGTTGGAGTTGTAATTTAAGAACTTTTAATTTCTGGATTGTTAATTAATGCTAGTAATATTGGCGACAACAATTGATAAGGGGTTAGTTATTAACAAAATTGATTTTAAGTTCTAAATCTTATTATGATATCCTCAAATCTTGGGGCGTCTCAGCTCAGCCCACCAACGTGGGCTAGTTTTGCTAGACGCAGTATTCCGTGAGGGTCCAGCTTGGCCCAGCACCATATTCCATGCGGGCCCAACTCAGCCCACAACAACCCAGACAACCTTAGTTTAGCCCAACACCACATTCCGTGCGGAACCAATTTGGCCAATGCTCGGTATAAGTTCTCCTCACACATCTATATACTAACAAGTTATTAATAAAAATAAGATTACACATAAGAGCATCTCCAACGGTTCACCAAACTTTTCACCAAATCTGAGTAAAAAAATCACCATTTTCCCAATTTGTTACTAGATGCTCCAACGGTTCACCTTTCACCAAATCTGTCCCGGGATAACCGGTTGGTTGACCGATGAGGGGAAATTTTTTTTTTTTTTTTGAATTGTTTGAACCAGAAATGTTGAACTATTTGAACTCTTTCCGGGACAACCGGTTGGTCGACCGGTAAGCCAAAAAAAATTTTTTTTTTTTTTTTTGAATTGTTTGAACCAAAAATGTTGAACTGTTTGAACTTTTTCATGGACAACCGGCTGGTCGACTGGTTCGTCTCCCCAAACGGTCATGTACAGTGTTTGGTGAAATACGAAGCCTGTCCTCAGTTTGATGAATCGTTTGGTGAAATCTCATTTTGATATCAATTTGGTGCAACCGTTGGAGCACCAAACAGTATCTTTTTCATCAAAATTTAAATTTGATATCAAGTTTAGTGAACCGTTAGAGATGGTCTAATATGAATTAGAACTATAAAAGAATCAAATATACCCATAAACTTTCATTAAGATATGTCCGATACTGCTCCTCAGAAGTCATTATTATAAGATTGATTTTTGGCCAAAACAGTGATATAAGCATAACTAACCCCTTTTGCTACTATTGGCAAATACTAGGGTGCTGCTGCATTCAATGCGGTCATCAGAGAAAGAGAGAAATGGATAAGGTTCATTTACTATAAATAGAGACAGACAAAGGACTACGATCATCCATGTCGTTGGAGGTTTTAAAGCTTGTGGCCTACCATTTCTGAGACTTATAACTTCCCTCAATAATTCCACTCCATTAATGGCTTGATTGCTTCGCGCTGAAGCAGGACATTTTGCAGGAAATTAATATACATTTTCCCCATTCGATTCCATTCGAGCTGTGTAGTAAGTTGTTAAAGATTAACTTAAAAACTTAACCAATTTTAAAAGGTATTTATGTTTGATTTGTTTACTTTTCGAGTCATTAACAAATGGAAATTACAAAACTTAAAAATTTAACAAGTTTCGTAATAAATTCAAATTTAACTTGTTTATCTTTCGAACTGATTTAAAATTAGTTTTAATGAGTCTAACTAATAACTTGGTTTTTTTATAAGGTATACGTGCTTATGAATCCCAGCCAAATCCAACTCCAACCAACCAAGTTTTAATAAGTGAACACAACGCAAATCCAATTTTAGTAGTTTGGGTAAAACCATCCTACTTTAACTCCTAGGATCTTGGCTGTGTATAAAATTCTTATTCAACATGACAAAACAAATTACATATAGCAAGGAAAGTATTATTACAACATGTCCTATACAGTTTGTCTATTTTCCCCCCTCAATCTTGTAAGCAAACTTTGGTTAGCTTACAGGATCTATATCTTGGCCATTCTAGCAGCCCTTCTACTATTCATACCCATTTAATTTAAGTATTTAATTATTATAATAATTATTAAAAAAAAAAAAAAAAGCTTTAGTAATACTCTGGTGCAGAAGGGATTAGGTGCTATGGTTTGTTTCCACTTGTACATCCTCTATTTTCTGTACAGAAGCCAATCAAGCCGACAGATTTGGGAGTGGTTTCTGCAGACTCGAACACTTGCAGTTTGCCCGATTTTCGCTGAGTATCTGAAAACAAAACGAAAACAGTGATCAAGCACAGATCAAAAGATTTCTAATGAAGATAATATTTGGTTCTTCTTCTACAATACCTTGTACTGTTTTTGTAGTTCTTTTATGTACTCAACAGCCAAATCCAACATGTCTGCTGTGTTTGTTTGCTGTCAATGCCAATTACAAGAAACAGAAAGATTACATGAGTTTCGAAATTTAAGACCAGAGGATGAAGTGTATAAATTATTTTAATCCTACCTTGTCCATGTTTGGGACAAGCTCTTGTAGTTTCCTCATTCTTTCACTGATCCGGGTTCTCCTCACCTGTGACATACAACATAGGCTTAGTTTAGTTAGAATGAAAGTGGTGAAAAGTGAGGGAAAGAGAAAAAAAAAATTAAACTCTTTGTTTTTTTTTTGGGCGTTTGTTTTGCTTGAGAATAATAGAAAATGCAATTAAACTTATCTTACAGCTCATATCAGCATGGTCTTGGTTTTCAATTTCTAACAACAAACACATAAAAAATTTCCTATTTGTTATAACCTCTCACCTTAACCAATTGCATACTCTCAAATTTTCCTTTCTTTCAACTCACTTTCTGTTACTTTCATTTCCATTCATATCTTTCAACCTATTTAAATGACAAATATATCTTACTCTAATATGAAGAGGGTGTGGGTTGTATCAGACTATAGTATAAACAAAAACAATTTAATTACTGTGGTAACCATAGAGATAATTTGGATTGTCTGATCAACAAAAACTTGGATCAGCAAAACTATAGAAGTACTTTAAAATGAACAGAAAAATAAGATAAAACAAAATAATCTACCCTCTCAGCAATACTTCGTGGATGAGTGGCACAACCTCGCTTTGCTCGAACCTTACAAGGAACAGTCTCTTGGAAGTGCAGTAACTTTTCCATGTTAGCCATTTCAGCTGAGGTCTTTGGTAAACTTAAGTGATGTGACAAAATATGCATACGATTTTCAAGCTCTCCATTCTGATTATAGACAAGACGACAACTTAGAGAGAAATTCAAATCAAACAAGCAATTAAATGATGATTAATGAATGCATATGAGTTGCCAAATGGTTACCTGAATCCCAGTAAATAACTTTTCATCATTATCCAGGTCCCTTTTCAGCACAGAGAAATTATCATGAATATGTGAAGAATCATTCCAAGAACCAAATGCATATCCGGGGCTGTAAAATTGAGGATCCCTGCTGCCATTTCCGAGTTTTATGTCTTCGTGGCAGCTCCCCTCGACGCTTTCATTATCGATTTCAGAGATCTGAGACAGCATACCTAATGAAGATGGCATTCCAGATGAGAAATTCATCAGACCTCTCAACCTGCTTGAAGGACTTACTACATCTCCATTAGTACCATTCCCTATTCTGTAATTTCCAAGACCTCTTAGAGCCGCATAGCCTGCGAATTTGCTGTGAAATTATCAGAATATATATTCTACCAACTGATCATTAAAAGTCTATCTGCTGTGGGAATACTTCGGCAAAGCTCATTTGCTCAAGAGCGTGAAAGCTATCCCAAGCTAGGCCTCTATGATTAGTATTGCTTTTAAAAAAAAGTTATAAAACTCTGTTTCGCCTTCATTCATTTTCTGAACCACAAGTATAAGAAACTAGTCCCATTCAATTAAGCATCTAAATCAATAATCTAGCACCCATATTCCATTATTGCAAAAAAATTCTCAATAAAGTCAATTTCATATTTAATCTCTTTGGCACTGATATCAACCAGCTATATTTAATCAGATCGCATGTAGTCATTTTATTTTTATTTCTTTTAAACAATCAATAGGAGGGGAATAGAAGAGGAGAAAGCTGCATTACACAACTGTGAAACTCGAATCCGGGCATCACACTAGTAAATGAGCACCTCATCTATCAGACCAAGCCTTGTTTTCTTATTGCTGTCATTCAGATGAAAGTATTTTGTCACGAGTGAAAAAAAAAAAGATGCGCCCCAAAAGCATAAGTAAATGAAATAGAACAACATTAAAGTAATTTAAGGCCTAGACAAGCAAATCTTTCAGATTGAGCAAAGCGGAACGTTCAAATCTTAGAAACACATTGAATCTGCGAGTGCTAAAACCATGTTAGAAACATTAAACAAGAATGAACCAAAGCACAAGAACTTGAACAGTACCATTTTGAGCAGTGAGGTGAGAGAAGAGCCCAGCAGGGGAACTAGTTTGCCGCATAAGACTGGAAGAACCAATTGAACCGACCACTCCGTAGGAGCTAGTGTTATCCATGGCAGCCAATTGGGTTCCTGAAGTATGTCTCGGGTACTGAGGAGGCAATTGTGAAGTCACAGAGAACCCATTAATTGCCAGAGGTTTGATCTCTTCCAAATCTTGAAAAAGACTTTGGGAAGTCAAATGGGTCAGCCTTTGAGCTTCAGGGCTCGAACACTGATTATTCATCGGACCCTTTTCACTGGAATCAGTACCAACATTGGTGAACTTGGAAAGGAGAGAGCTGGGAGCAGAGCGAAACCTCAACAACCCAGAATTGGAATCGGACTGTTGATGATGACTATTGTTGTATTGTCTATACTCGTCTTGATGGTTCATATCTGTGTTCAACAACGGTTCTCTACTGTTTTCGTTTAGAGTTCGAATCGCAAGAAAATATAGCAGTTGGGGTCATCAACTAATGCTCGAGAATCACCATACATTCCTCAAACTTTTTCCAGGAAAATTCGACAGTCTTTTTCAGGGAAATTGCTTGTTTTCTAAGCAGTTGGGAATGAAATCTTCTAGTCGAAGCAACCAAAGTATAATCTTCAAAACCGAGAGAGAGAGAGAGAGAGAGAGAGAGAGAGAGTGACAGTGGGTAAAATAAGTGCGAGCTCCTCAGCCTCAGGTTTGTGAAGTAGGAATCTGAATCAGTAAGAACTAGTAGAGAGAGAGACAATGAGAAGTGTGTGCATTGAGATGAAAGGGAAGTTGTTGATATCTATCTATCTGTCTATCTATATTATATATGATTGGATGGATGGATGGATGGATATGGATGGGGTTTTAGACAGTGAGAGAGAGAGAGGGGTGGTGCCGTAGCGGTGGTAGTGATACGTAGCGGTGGGTGTTGGTGGTGGTGATGGCACTGAGAGAGACACAGAGAGTATGAAACAAATTTTAAGATTGTCTGAGAAACAAAATGACAAAAAGTAGTAAACTCCGCAAGTCATCAAATTTCCCTCTCTCGTCTGTTTTCATTTTGGACAAAAATACGAAACGGTCCGAACTGGGAGAGGTTATTTTGTGGACTTTTTCAGTAATATTTCACGCCACTTACAGTGTGCTTTTTATTTTTTATTTTTTTTCCAAGACAAATGTGTTTCAAGTCAAACACCGCAAAGATTTTTTCCACTTACACGCTAGGGCAATACTAGAAATCGATGTTCTAAAATAATTATTAATGATGTGATATTTAATTTTTTTTTAAAAAAAAACAAACACAATAATATTGTGGTAGTGGGTGACACCATTGTCACATCATTAATAGTGACAATTAATTAGGAATCTCAGTCATCTTCCTACGTATTATAATTTTTGCCAACTAAACATCCAATCCAGATGCTCCTATGTCGGTATCTTTTTTTATTTTATTTTTTAAATAAATATTTTTTATGTTGTCTACTTATTTACAGTATTTGATGAAAAGGAAGAAAAAAAAAATAAAAAAAAACTACGCAATATACAATAAGTTACAAATTTTAAACATTTAATTTATAAAAATTTGTTAAATTATTGGACCATTGTTCATGTAGAATTTAGTATACTATATATAAATAGCGGAAATAAATGAATTCGGACATATTTTTTACATTCAAATTGAATCCATTTATCATGTGGGTGAATCATGTGCCTCCATTGATATTTTCAAATGATTTCAAACAGTGGAGTAGAACTGCTAGAGAACTATCCACATTATTTACAGTACAAAGGCGAAATGGTTTATGGAAAAAAAAACGCACAATTTTTGTTGTTTCAAATACAGAACCCAAATTCTGTTTATATAAGAGAATTAAGAGACGCATAAGATAGATGTATTATCCTAGATAATATCTATCTCATATCAACAATATCTAATTAATAATTATCATTTAATATATTGACAATTATTCATGTCAAGATTATCTCATATCAAGATTATCTCATATCTTGAAATATAATCTATTAAGATTATTTGGATCTCTCCTAATCGGATCATGCCACCATGGGCGACCCAATTGAGTCCGGGTTCTAAACCTGGCCCAATTTCCAACATCTCTCACTTGAACATGCACTAACATGACACCGCGCCTTTTGTATCTCATATACCCCAAACCCATCTAAGTACATCGGTCCAAAAAACATCTCTAATCCCTCAAAATGAGCATGTATGACCCTCTCAATTCTTGCAATATATTCAGACTCAATCCGCCTCTCATACAGAGCAATGTGAGTTGTCGAGAGTGAATATATAACAGTGGTGTAATACTAGATGATCTTCCATTCGCCCTCATGCCATTTAGTTTAGGATTGACTGCTTTCTCAGTGATGTCTCATAAGACCGAATCATACATGACCACAGGCAACATACTAGAGTAGCAGAATATCAACCCTTTACCTTATGACATAGTCAAAAGTCACAAAAGGGTACATAAGTGAAAGTCATATCAATAATGACACGTAAGACTCACATGGTAAGAAAACAGGGATCCATTCTCTCACCCCATTACTCGGTCACCAAGCACATGTAGTATGAATACATGCTATGGTGGAGTAACTCTTCCAAAGAGTGACGTCATACTCGATACACCGTACAGATCTTAGTCAAGTCGCTTTCTAGCGTCTAACCTGAATTCTCTATTTGCTCACCTTCCAAGTACCAAATGAGATCTCGCATCTAGCTAATCATAACAGGCACAACATGAAAAATGGGTACTAACATCCATGTTTAGTCATTAATACGACCTTATCTAGGTTGTAACCAAGGCGACATGCATAGTGGATAATTTAAGCCTCTTGTGGCTCCAAAAAAAATAAACTACTAGTCTCGTCCTTGATCGCTCCCAAGCGCCAAGGACAATTGCTCATGTAAGTGAGTCAATCTTACCTGTTAGCATCATCATCTGCTAATCATTATGACACAAACCATAACAGCATCAATATCCCATAATCTCACAAAAAAATAAGTGATCAATTGAAAAAACACAATCACAGTCTGCGCAATTCTGGATTCCAAACATAAGCCCTATTGGCACCTCTTGCGATAAGCATACACAACAAAATCCACCATGTGCGCTTTACATGAAGTGGTTCAAGATCACTACTTACTCATTTACCTTTCCAAATATATTTTGGTGACCAATTTGCGTTTATTCAAGATGCGCCCAACAAGCGCATTGAATCTTACAAAGGGCAAATTTATACACTACCAGTAAAGCATCCTATCCATAGTCTAATAAGCAAGGTCAAGGTCTAAACTACTCAGTTGACCATTTACCAAAGATAACACTCATCATGCCGAATATGAAATCGCCCGCATAGCGTACTTTGGGCTCCCACAACAACGATCAAGGAATATAGATCATTTATTTCTCCAGAAGACATCTAAGGATTCACTCAATAGCTGAGACTCTAGCTTTTACCAATAGGTAAGTCAATGGGTTTGCAATTTTGCATCTAGAATCATTCTAAGATATTCTTTATGTAAGTCATCAAAGACAAAACCGAGAATTCTCCCAGAACAATCCCTAAGGATCGTACATCCGAGCATATAAATTACATCACTCATGTCCATCTGTCTAAACAGAGGACTACCAACCTAGGTGGCGACAACCTATAAATTCCTGACTCATAATGACTAAGTAAGGAAAAACTTCTTTTGGACCATTGATCATGCCTTAATAGTCTTCATCGATCATCCGTTAGCCATCATGGCTCGATGAAATCTAAGAACTATTATTTGGATAACTTTTCGCCATAAAATCATAAGATAAATCCCTACAAAATCTATTTATCTAATTCTCAACGAGAAGTTGGTCACAATGTCCACAAGGTAAAGTTCGCGAACTTATGTCAATCATAGCCTAAGTCAAAGTAACCTCACTTGCCAGGAGAAAGTCTCTCATGGTCACACCTTCTCCAATGGTGGACTTTTTGATATCTAGTGAGCCTTATGCCTCAAAAGATGCTATCCAAATCGCGCATAACTTTAGAACAGTTTCGCGTCATAGTGAAAAGTCAATCAAATTGTAGAAATGGTTAATCCTCAAAGATATTGTCTTAAAAATGCGCAACATTGATATAGCGATCCCGATTTTCCCTTCATTGTTTAATTGTATTTCGGGACTCGGTTCCGTGGATGTTTGTTGTCTTATTCTTGTTTCATCCTTACTCTTGTATATGAGTCTTGGGTCGTGTTGGCAGGTTTGAAACAGGTTGGGTGTGTTGGGAAAACAAGTGATTGTGTTGGAACGAAGGGTTAGTGTCCATTAATTTCAATAATGGTCCATTCATATTTCAAACTTGTCCTTTCAAATTCCAATTAGTAGGCTTTTATGACAAACTTGTTCCATTTAATATCTATTAGTGGTTCATTTAATATCCTTATAATGTTCATTAATTGACAACTAGTGTCTTTTCATAATCCAACTAGTGTCTTTTCATAATCCAACTAGTATTATTAGTGGGCTTAATGAACAATAAACCAAAATTGACTTTCAATTCTAACCAGTGGGCTTCTATACACTAGATTTGCCTATAAAATATCACATTCCCAGCATGGCAAACCTAGTAACACTCTCACACACACACACATTCGACTAAAGAGAGGAGAGAACAAAAGAGAAAATCTTGAAGAGAGGAAGGATGCTTGCTCTTCATTTTGATTCGAAATTATTGG